CATTACACTTACACAGCCTTGGGTTGGGATCAGTGAGATCGTTCTAGGTCAGGCTTTTTCCCTGGGGCTTGGCACAAAACAAAAACAAAAACAGCATTGGCTCAAAACACTCTTCCCACAAAAGGCCACTTTTCAAAATTTTCGAAGTTCAGGAATGAAAAGAAGGTGAAACGAGTGGGTTTCAGTACTCTTCCAAGAGGTCTGATAGAAAGGGGTGGAGGATTGAGCCTTAAGACTTCCTACGTAGCTCATGGGTAACGGAGCAGGGTAGATCTGACCAGTTGGCACAGCCTCAGGCTGGTTAGAGTTAAGAAAAGGTACAGCTGCGGAGGCTGTCCTAGAAGTGGGCTATTGGGACGGTCAGAGTAAGCAGCTCATCTCTGGCATTGGAAGAGATCTTTGTCTAGTGTCAGGAGTGAGGGGTGGGGGCTTGGCGTGCTGAGGGACCTCAACCCAACAGTAGTGACCTTTTGGCAAGCTTTTCAGAGCCTTTCATTGATCACCAATCATTGTTTCTGACAGGAAAAAGCAGGAGGAGTCACTTCCTTGTCATTCAGTGCTGGTGTTGGCTTCTGGATAATTGCTTACATGTTGCAGGTACTTAATTTGTCTGCGAGGAGCATCTGTGTTTTGACAAATAAATTTTACAACCTTATTTTTCCATACCAGTGCCAGGTTTACACTGATCAAAATACACACAGAGTTATTTGTATACAAAATCTCTTTCCTAATTAGTTAATTAGTATATCAAATTTGTATGGCTGTTTATCATGTTTCCAACACTAGGTTTTTGAAAAATTCAGACAACATATAAGATACAGTTTCTATCCTCAAGGAATGTATAATTCGAGAGAGAAAATTAGCATTCAACAAATAAGCAAGAAATGAGTGATGAAATATGATGCTGATTAGAAGTATAACTCAAATTCAGGGAAAAAAAAAAAAAAAAAAGGAGCCCAGTACAGGTTAGAATAAGAGGCTATTGCAGGAAGATAAGACTCAAGATAGGTCTTCAGGATGGAAAAATTTTAGAAGAGGATAAAAGAAGAACAGCTTTCCTGGCCTGAGGAATCACGTGAGCCAAGGCACAGAGGCAGGAAATCAACACTATGTCCTTGGGGACATCCAGGAGAGACTGTGACAGGAACGAGGAGGGCAGGTTACATGGGAAATAAATTTGGGTAGTTAAGGCAGAGCCCTGTTTCTGTTGCCTCAAAGGTCAGTCAGTTTGAACTCAATATTACAGACCACCGCTGTTCAACAGTAATGCCACATATGTAATTTAAAACTTTCTATGCCACACTAAAAAAATAAAAAGAAATGGGTGAAGTTCATTTTAATAATATATTTTCCCTAACCCAATATGTCTAAAATATTACCATTTTGACATGTAATCAATATTAAAAATGTTTTATACTGCTCCAGTTGTTAAATTTAAATTAAGGAAAAATTTAGTTCCTCCATTGCATGGACCACAATTCAAGTGTTCAATAGCCACATGTGTCTAGTATTGGACAACATAGCTTTGGACAATTGTGAGATGATTTAGCAGATGAATAATAAGCCAAAGATACATGGATTTGTCGTCAGTGAATTGAAGGGTGTGATGATTGTGGGAGAAGAGAGAAGTTAGATCTGGAATGAGTTTCATGTGGGTACTAGAATGGTAGTAGTGGGGCGTTAAGAGGATGGGGCAAATCTGAGAGATGCTTCAAGAAATAACTGGCGTGCCTTGATGACTGTTTGGTAATGAGAAAGGAAAAAAAATTCGAGAGTAGTAGCCAGCTTCCAAACAGTTCTCAATGATCCCAGCCGCCTATTCATACCCTGGTGTAGTCCCCTCCCACGCTGTACCGGGTGTGGTATGCGTGACCAATAGAATGAGGCGGTGGTGATGCTCCATCACTTCCAAGATTAGGTTATAAAAGATACTATGGCTTCTGTTTTGGTGGTTCTCTCTCGGATCACGCACCCTGGAGAAATGGAGCTGCTACACTGTGAGCAGCCCTCTCGAGAGGACCATGTGGCGAGGAACTGAAGCTTGCCAATGAGCCCATGAGTGAGTTTGGAAGGGGGTCCTCCTGCCTTGGTTGAGCATTCAGATGACTATAGTCCCAGCGAACACCATGACTGCAACCTCAGGAGAGACTCTGAGCCAGAACCACTTCTCAGCCTCTCTCTGATTCCTGAGTCTCAGAATCTGAGAGAGATAATAAATGTTTATTATTTTAAGTTGCTGAATCTTGGGGCAATTTGTAACAGCATTAGATAATGACTACATCAAACAACAATAAAAAGATGACCTAATTTAAAATGGGCAAAAGAATTGAATAGCCACTTTACCAAAGAAGATAATAAGCATACAAAAAAAGTGTTCAATATCATTAGACACCAGGGAAATGCAAATTAAAACCACAGTGAGACACAAATCAACAGGCTAAAATTAAAGATGGACAGCACAAAATGTTGATGAGGATGTGGAGCGACCAGAATTCTTTTATTTTATAATTGAGATCTAGTTCACATACCATACAGTTCACCCATTTAAAGTATACAATTCAATGGCAATCATCACCACAGTACATTTAAAAATATTTTTATTACTCCAGAAAGAAACCCAGTACCTCTTAGCTGGTACCCTCCAATTATTCTACCAACCCTTCTGACCCCTAGGCTACTTTCTGTCTCTATACATTTGCTCATATTAATGAAGTTAGCATGTGGTCTTTTGTGCTTGGTTTCTTTCACTTAGCATAGCGTTTTCAAGGTTCATCTATGTTATAGCATGTTTAGTTTTTGTTCATTTTTTTCATTGTCTAATATTTCATTATATGGATATATCACTTTTTTTAAAAAAGATCTTTTTTTTTTTTTATTTGAGAGAGAGAGAGAGCACAAGCAGGGGGAGGGGCAGAGGAAGAGAGAGAAGCAGACTCCCCACTAAGCAGGGAGCCCGATACGGGACTCAATCCCAGGACCCTGGGATCATGACCTGAGCTGAAGGAATATGCTTCACCGCCTGAGCCGCCCAGGCACCCTGGATATATCACTTTTTAAATTATTTTTTTATTTTTAATTTTTTTAAAAAAATATTTATTTGAGAGAGAGAGAGTGTGTGGAGGAGCAGGGTGAGGGGCAAAGGGAGAAGCAGGCTCTCCGCTGAGCAGGGAGCCAGACGTGGGGCTGGATCCTGGGACTCCAGGACCATGACCTGAGCCAAAGGCAGATGTTAACCAACTGAGCCATCTAGACACCCCAGATACATCACTTTTTAAAAATCCATCAGTTGATACACATTTGAGTTGTTTCCACTTTTTGGTTATTATGAGTAGCTATAAACATTTGTGTGGACTACTTTCATTTCTTTTGGGTATGTACATAGGAGTGGAATTATTAGGTCTTATGGTAACTCTATATTTAACCAATTGAGGGATTGCTAGATTTTTTCCAAAATGGCCATAAAATTTTACATTCCCACCAGCAGTGTATGAAGATTCCTATTTCTCTACATCTTCACCAACACTTCCTATTTTCTGCCTTTTTGATTATAACCATCTTAGTGGGTATGAAGTCATATTTCATTATGGTTTTGATTTTCACTTCCTTGATGGCTAATCATGTTGGGGATTTTTTCACATGATTATTGATCATTTGTAGATCTTCTTTGGAGAACTGTCTATTCAGATCCATTGCCCACTTTGAAATGGAATGATTTTTTAAAATTATTATTGAGTTGTAATAGTTCTAGGTACAAAATCCTTATTAAATATATCATTTGCAAATTTTTTTTCCTATTCTGTGGGTTGTCTGCAACTAGAATTCTTAGTCCAAAATGATACGAACACTTTTGAAAAACATCTTGGGTTATATAATTTGCCCAAGGTCACTAAACTATTAGCATGCTAGGGACAGGACAGGACCGACTACATAATTTGTAGACCTGTCTATAGCAAAAAGAAAATGTGGGACACCTTGTTAAAAAATTGTTAAAAGTAGAACAGGGCCCTTGTAAGCATGGGGCCCTGTGAGTCGCAGGTTCCATGCACATGAAGCTACAGGAACAGGGAAGATTTGAATCTTGGGCTGTTTAACAGGAAAGCTCATGCTTTCCAATAAACCATGCTGGGTTGAATGATCCGTTCATTTTTTGGGCACGCTGAATGAGACATGATGGCAATGTCAGATGCTGATGTCAGATATTGATGTTCCAGAGCTGGTTAAAAACTGAATTATAGGTCAGTAGTTCCTTCTCTGATGCCTGTTTGTCTTCTGTTCAGTGGGCATTTGGTAATTATATTTGACCTAAGTTAGAAAAGTAATTTTTCATCAAAGTCTTGATAGTATCTTCTTAAATGTTAACTTGCTAAGACTAATTCCTTTTACTTCCCTCCCTCTGAAATTCTTCACTGAATTCCTTTTTTCTGACAAATGTGTCAATACTTTAGTGGTGATGGAATGTTTGCTGCTGGACATCTGGGTGTATCTGGATACAGAGAAACATTCTTCTGAATCGACTACTCATGGATAAGATAAATCTTGATTTAAGAGTAAGCTACGTTTGGAATATAATTATGCTTTCACTGATAACAGTAACTTTCAGTTTTGTTGGTAAAGATTTATTTATTTATTTGAGAGAGGGGGAGGGGCAGAGGGAGAATCTCAAGCGGACTCCCCAGAGAGGGGAGCCCAAGATAAGGCTCGATCGACCATCCTGATCCCAGCCAAAACCAAGAGTCTGATGCTTAATCTACTGAGCCACGCAGGAAACCCTCTAGAGAACAATTTCTTTTCTCCTCTTCAGCCGGCCCCTGCTCCCTACAGCTCCATTAGCCCTGCCCCACCTCGCCCTCCGCCTTCGCCTCAGCCCCGCCCCCCAGCCAAGCCCCAGCCCATCCTCTCCACTCGCCCTCAATCCATTTCCTCCCGCAGCGGTTCTCGCCCCGCCCCTCAGCGTCGCGCCGCTGAAAAACATCCCGTCCAGGGCCTCTCTGGCCGCCTGGAGGACTTGTCATCTGTGTCCGGCGGCGCTGGGAGGAGCAGGGCGGCTGTGGGTGGGTCTGACGTGAGGCTACACGAGATTCTCCTGCGCGCCGCTTTCTACTACTTTCGGCTCGCGGGTGTCTTTGCCATGGGGCTGCCGCAGATGTGGAGGCTCGTGTGGAGGTGAGTGAGCGAGCTGTCTAGCGCAGGCTCCTGGGCTGCCCTCGCCGAGGTTGCAGAGGGTCGTGCGCCGGTGGGGACGGTCTGGCCTCGAAGTTTCTAGTGACGCTTGGAGGCGCCCCTCTTAGAGCTGAGCCCGGCCCCTCTCTGTGTCTCGCTCTGTGTTTAGCACCTTTGCAGCATCCCCTTCGTTTTCTGCCCCTCTGGCTCTTATATTAGCCTTGACGCCCCCCCCCCCACTACTTTATGTACCTTTGAGCCCCATTTCCTTTCTTCAAAGCTAAGTATAGTTTGGGGGACAGGCAGGGTTTCAACGTGGAGGAATTTTTTGTTGTTGTTGTTAAAGATTTTTTATTTATTTGAGAGAGAATGAGAGAGAGCACAAGAGGGGGGAGGGTCAGAGGGAGAAGCCGACTGCCCGCTGAGCGGGGAGCCTGATTCGGGGCTCGATCCAGGGACTCCAGGATCATGACCTGAGCCGAAGGCAGTTGCTTAACCAACTGAGCCACCCAGGCGGCCTCAACATGGAGGAATTTTGTGGCATGTTTTGTGCAGCTAACAAACGCTCCTACTTTGGCAGTTGTTGCACCTGCGCTCGTGGTGTGACTTTACTGTTCCGTTCTGTCGGATGGCTCCAGCCTTAATCCAGGTGTGTGGAACTTTCAGGCTAGTGTTGTGGACACATAACGTGGTTTGGTGGAGTATGTGTGCAAACATCGTGTTTAACTTTTGAAAGTGCTGCTGAATGCTGCTTGAGCTCTGCAAAGGAAATCTGGTAGTAATGAGTTTAGGAAGTTAGGCTGCGTTAGTCTTGAGGCCTACTGCCTGCCCGTGTGCATTCAGGTGGCAGCTGTGACCACTTGAAGGGAGAACTGTGTTATTTACTCCATAACTTCAGTTGCTGAGTTCTTTAGCCTTTAAGTTTGCCTTGGGGGAAAAGGATGGAAATGTTTCTTTGGTTTAAGAAGAATAGTCATTTCTCTAGAGATAAGCTCTGGTTGTTTAACATTGTATCCACAGACCTGGGTCTCAATCAGTGAAGAAAAATGGAAGAGTTGCTTTCCTTCATTTTTTTAATACCTCGAAATTAGCTGTCCCTGTGTCTCTGAACAGCTCAGAGAGAGACGGCAAATACTAAGAAAATCACATGTCATTGCTGCTGCTTTTTGAAGTTGTGAGTAAATACCAAGTTATTTGAGAAACAAATTGGGAAGACCTGCTAACAAAATTAACTGACTTGGGAAAAAATCTGTCATCCCCAGAATTCAGGCTGGCTTTATTCCACCGCTCATCTCATGGTGCAGACTGATTAGGTGAGTCCTGGACCAGGGGGTTTGATGAGGGATGCCTTTTTCAGGGCTTTGGAGTGGGTATTGCCCTAGCAAAGGAGAGACCTGAGGCCAGTGTCACCTAATCTACAATAGCCTAACCCACAAGTGTATTAAGGAATAGGGTGCCACAGAGTGTTTTGGAGAGGAAATAAGGCCTCTGTGCTGTGGTTGACACTGTTGGGCAGTTCATCTTGAACTCTGGTCTCCCTTGGCTCTCTGGCACTGTCTTTCCCATGTACCTCTCCACTAATTCTTGTCTTGCCATGGTACCAGTACAGACCCTGGGCATTTTGGGGGGGAGTTCCCAAATAAAGTACCTCTCTGAAGAGAACTCTCAAATTTGTATGTCTAACCTTGATTTATCATAAATGATAGTGCAAGTCACAACCACCTGAATGTCTCATTTGCACCTCAAGTGTTAATTTGCACATAAGTGTAACCCATACTCATCTGCACTTTCAACTTCTTGGAACTATTATTCTTCTAGATTTTTAAAGTTATCTAAGTTCTTCCATACTCCCAATCCTTATCTCTTCGTGCTGATTCGAATTTGAACAATCCTCTCAAATTTTTCAGTTGTTCATTTTGCAGAGACTTGATGGTGGACTTCTTCCCAATTTGAATAGCTTCTGCATGCGACTGCCAGGTTAATCTTGCTAAGTTCACTTCAGGGCCTGCCATTCTTCTCCTAAGAAGTTCTTAGAGGTGTCTTCCTACTTATGGAATTAAATAAAAATTTCTCAGCCTGATTTCAAAGATTTGGCCCTAATTTACTTAGTGAATTCTATAATACTTAGTGTTATATTCTAGCTTCTGGGAGTTCTAGGCCCTTTTGTTATCTTGTAGCCAACCTGGACTACTCGCTCTTGTTTCTTATTAAGGCCCTTGAAGTCCCAAAAGAAAGCAGACAAGAAACAAATATTTAAACAAAAGTAATACTTAGTTACAAATTCTGATAAGTGTCTTAAAGGAAAAGGACAAGTAGGAGAGATTTAGAAATGAAAGAAAGGGGTCGGGAAGCTCTTCAAAGAGGTTGATCTTTTAAGTTGTTAATAGTACTCCTTGCTTTCTCCATCTGCTCTATAGTGGGCTGAACTACACTGTTTTGGTTCTTCTTGAGCTGCCTCTTTTTCTTCTACACAGTTGTCTCCGAAGGCTCAATATTTGATTTCTCTGTTATATTTTTTCTGTGTTAGGAGTCACAGCCCCAAATGCAGAGGCTAAGAAGGAAGCATCTGGTAATGCTGGCTAGACAACAGCAGTGGGGACTGGTAGGAAACTTGTGAGCTAGAGAAAGGGCTCTGTGTAAAGGAGCCAGCTTCTCAGCCCCAGGCAGGCGTTGTTGCCATTATAGAATGTAGACCCAAGGTTTCTATGACTACTACTTTTTCTGGGAAACTGAATTTTTTGGTGAAGTCTTTTGATTTTAAATGTCTGGTTTTAAAACACTGCTGACCAGACAAAACACATCCACTAATTTTCAGCTGCAGCTTTTTCATTCCTCAAGGACAGCTGAGACTTTCTTATGCCTCAGTGATTATCTGTGCATTTAACTGTGACATAGCTTCAGTTCTGACTTTTCTTTCAAACTCCAGTCTCTCTGCTTGCTGTTGAATGTTTCCACTTATGTCAATACAGGCTCAAGAAACTGAAAATGGACTTTATATTTCATTCTACAAACCAGCTAGTTTCCTGGCCAGCTTTTTCAGTACCTATAGTGTCTTAGCTGCCCTAGCTTGAACTCTTAGAATTGTTATTAACAAAGTTCTTTTCCTTTTCATTGAGTTTTAACTTCATAATATCTCCTAAAAATCATTCCTTTGTTTCTGCAGCTGCTGTTCATCAGTTCATGCCTGAATTGCTTGGCCTTGGGTTCTGTTCTGTTCACCTTCTATCTTGCCTACTTCTGCTGTAATCTTCATTAAGCACCATTTTCATTATTTCGTCTTAAACAGTTCCATGAAAAGTTGTTTAATTTTGTAAACTCGTGTGTGATTTATTGGAGGATTGCAGAAATCTCCTAAATGATAATGTTCTCATCCTTCCAAGACAGTTGTTTTTAACTTCAGCATGTATCAGACTCACCTGGAGGGTTTGTTAAACACAGATTTTTGGGCTCACCCCACAGTTTCTAATTCAGTACGTCTGGGGTGGGGCCAACAATTTGCATTTCTGACATGTGCCCCTGGGATGCTGATGGTGCTGGTCCGGGAACCACACTTTGAGAACAGCTGCCCCCAAGCAGATAAGTTGACCCTCACCTGAAGGAAGTAAGTCTAAGAAAGTGATTTAGTAAATTAGCAGTAGGTGGAAGGTGCATGTCCTCTTCTCCTCCACCAGATGGCAGTCCTGGAGCCAACAGGAAGGAAAGGGAAGACCTTCAATTCAGAATTATTTGGGGACTCTGAACACTCAAATACATTTTTGAGATGTAAAAGTTAACAGCAGATTTTAAATAACGGTTGAGTAGAAATTGGAACAAATAAAGTTAATATGATTATAGAGTCTGGTAAGGAACTTAGTTGTACTTAGGTTTTTCTGTTTTTTAGCAATTGGTCCAGAGCTTTTGGGATCTTTAAAATGCTGTGCATGGTGCTGTGCACTTGCATTTGGTAGGTTTACATGAACTTTCTTTGAATGAGCTAAAATTCTATCTCACGAATGAAAGTAGGACTTGAAGCCAGGTCCGTGTGTCTCTATGCCATAGGTGGTGCTTGAGCTGTTGGAAAAGACTTGCCAGTCTGCTAGCACTGTCTTTAACCTTGAACTGGCGTTTGGGTACCGGTCTCATTAGGGAATTCTGGGTTATTCTGGATCTAAAGAAATTAGTGCTTAAATTTTTCATTCTTAATTCAATTTTATCTTTTCGGAAGTTTTTAAGTTCAAAAAAATTTTTAAAAAAAGGTGCTTCAGGATAAATATAGCTCAGATATTAAAAGTCAGTATAAAATCCCTATTTAGAAAATACCCCAAATAAGCTAGTATCTGTCACTTCAGTTTAATTTTTATAAAATACTGATTTTAATGACAGCTTGTTTGTGCTTTGGAATCATTTGGGGGAGCGTCAAACAAAATACTTATGCCTGTGTCCCACCTCCAGAGTTTGAGTTAACTGGTCTTGGGTGTGACCTGGGCTGTGGAATGTTTATTAGAGTTTCCAGGTGATTCTAATGTGCAGACAAGTTATGGAATTACTGGGCTAGAATATTTTACTTGTGGTAAGACAAATTCAAAATATGCTAGTCTAGAAATGTGAAGTGTGACTGATTTAAACAAATCAGCGATTTCCCTTTTTTGGGGGGGTAGTAGTAATCAATTTAAATGTAATATAAGAGGAAAGTAAGACTCCTGGAAAGATGTATTACAAATATTTTTATAAATTCAGTCACCTAAAATGTAGCTACAATGGTGACAATGGGCATATTACCTTTTTTTCATGGCTCAGCTAAACAGTTGTCCCTCAACTCTCAAAGTATCCTTGAAAAATTAGTAAATTGGTGATTTATGAGTTCCCTTTGATAGTATATCTATACATGTGCACGGTCCTTAATCAGCCTGCTGCTGCTACAGATTCCACCTTTGACTTGACTTCATACATCTCAACTTTCACTTGTTTAGCATGCATCCCAGTATATCTTAATAACACTATTTTTATATGCATCTCTCTTCACTATACTTTGAGTTGCTTGAAGGCAAGAGCAATATCTTTTGGGGGACTTTTTAAAAAGGCCTGAATCGTAGGGGCACCTGGGTGGCTTAGTTAAGCGTCTGCCTTTGGCTCAGGTCATTATCCCAGGGTCCTGGGATCAAGCCCTGCAATGGGCTCCCTGCTCAGTGGGGAGCCTGCTTCTCCCTCTCCTGCTCCCTCTGCTTGTGCTCACACTCTTTCTCTCTGTCAAATAAAATCTTAAAAAAAAAAGCCCAGAGCATAAAAATACAATTTGATGAATTTTCACAAACCGAACGTATCCATTTCACTGGCACCTGGATCAAGAAAAAAATGATAGTACCAGCATCTCAGAGGCCCTCCTCATGCCCCTTCTAGTCACTGCCCACCCCCATGCTGCTTTTACTTATTTAATTGTAATGTACGTGAAGTACTGAAATGTACTAATCTGAAGTCTGTAGCTCAGTTAACTTTTGCATATGTATACAGTCCTGTAACCATCATCTGGATAGAGATAATTTCTGCCACTCCAGATTTCCTCCTGCCTGCCCCCCCCAACTTCCCCCATTCTCCACCATTTTGACTTCTATTATTACCGATCACTTTTGCCAAACTGTGTCTTAAGCTTTGTATGCCTAGCCTAACAAAACTTAGAAGTGTGTTATATTTTATAGCTTGCTTTCTTTTGTAATTTCTATCATGACTACTTTCCATATCATAAGTATTATTTATATATTTTTAAATAAATATTTTTATTGGCTTTGTATTGGTTTTGTATAGATGACCGTTTATAAAATATTACTAGAGGCGACTGGACCAAGTTGCTGCCTGCACCCTTTGCCTCCCCCATCCCCAACCCCACCAAGGTCAATAAAAAGGAACTCAACTCCAACGACAGTGGAGCCCATGAGACCTCGGAAAAATAACAGCAAGGAGCAGTTGAATACATTAATGAAGTACAGAAGGCAGTAGACTTGAACAAGCCAATGAGATTTTGAAAGTAGAATAGACATACAACACTGCTGACCACTTTTTTCAGAAGAGGTTGGAATTGATTGTCCAAATCCTACATTTTTGGGTTAACATTTGTCACTCATCCACAACTGTCTGCACTGCATTATTTGACAAGAGTTGAAGTGACAGAATTTGAAGATATTAAATCAGGTTACAGAATAGATCTTTATTTTGATGGAAAACCTTACTTTGAAAATAAAGTTCTTTCCAAAGAATTTCATCCAAATGAGAGTGGTGATCCATCTTCAAAGTCCACTGAAATCAAATGGAAATCTAGAAAGCACCTGACAAAATGTTCAAGTTAAATGCAGAATAAAGCCAGCAGGAAGAGAGAGCATGAGAGACCCAGAGAGCTCTTTCTCTGGTTTACTGATGATTCTGATGGAGGTGCAGATGAGTTCAGGAGAGGTCATCAAAGATGATACTTGGCCAAATCCATTATAGTGCTACTTGGTTCTTGACATGATGATGAAGAAGATGAACATGATGATGAGTGGGAGGAAGGAGAGGAGGATGAAGGAGAAAGGATTAATGGAACTCTAATGGATTCTAACCTTTTTAAATTTTCTCCAGGCCCCTGGAGCAAGTTACAGTCTTCCCAACTCCCCCGCCTCTTGTGTTCAGTTGCTCTGTTTTTTTTGAGTTCCCTTCACCTACCTTGGTTTTCAATTTATTTTGGGGGGAAATACCTTGAACAGAATACAGTGGGAAAAGAATCTCTACCCTTTTTTGTTCCAAATTCATTTTTTTTTGTAATACCTTTCAGAAGAGGCTAGAACAAAAGGAAATATGGTATTTATACATTGAGACATGACTACCAACGTTACTGTGTTCATTGTATTCTGCATTTATTTCAGGTTTAATTCATTCAGAAGAACTGATATCATACTGCAACATTTGGTAAGTTTGGATTTTGTTTTGTTGGCATTGTTAGATTATGATGTGCAAGGTAAAATGTCATTGTTAGGGAAGTAGAGGAATACTGGCAGATTTTGTTGCCCTTCATGCACCATGGTTCCCAATTTTATAGGTCAAGACTTGACACATAACTAGGAGATGGTATAAGGTTATGAATAAGAGCGTGGACCTTCAAGTCAGAATGCTTGGGTTTAAATAATGGGTCCACTACTTAATCTTGGGTAGATTACCTCACCTCTCTCAGCTTCCTTTTAGACATGATAAGATGGGGATAATAGTGTCTATCTTAGAATGCTTGTGAATAATACATATTTCATTTAAAAATCTAGCACCAGTGCTTGGCATGTAATCATTTTATACTTCCTAGCTACTGTTGTACTTATAATATTCTTCTAAAGCTTAGATGCCTTTAGTACCCTTTCAGAGCTTAGATGTTTTTAGTTTACCATTTTGAGAGGAAGAAATAATTTTTATTCATTTTTGTATCTCTGTGCTATGGACTGAATCTTTGTATCACCCCAGAATTCATATGTTGAAATCTAATTCCCAATGTGATGGTATTTGGAGGTGGGGGCCTTTAGGAGATGATTAGGTCAGGAGGGTGCTGCTCTCATGAAAGGAATCAGTGACCCCATATATAAGAGAGACTCCAGAGAGCTTTCTCACCTGTTTTGCCTTGTGAGGGAGGACACAGTGAGAAGACAGGCTTCTGTGAACCAGGAAGAGGGACTTCATGAGGCACTGAATTAGCAGGTGCCTTGATCTTGGACTTCCCAGCCTCTAGAATTGTGAAAAGTGTTGTATAAGCCACCCAGCCTGTGATATTTTTCTTATAGCAGCCTAGATGAACTAAAATACTCTTGTGAGGCCTGACAGGTACCTTGCACATAAAAATAAGTTACTCTGATTTGCGCTTACTGTACGCCAGGTGCTCTTCCAAGTACTTGGTATGTATTAGCTTGGTTGATTCTCATTATGGTCCTATAGAGTAGATGCTACAGATCTTTTTTCTACAGTTCTGAAACCTCAAACTCAGAAGTTTGTGGTTAGTTTGTGATAAATGCATTTTGTGACAAAAATCTGACTTGAACGTACTTGAAGCTCTTTTTTCTTTATCCTAACAAGTGCATATGTTCATAGTTTGATGCAGAAGTGTTAAAGCGTTTTATTGTGTGCTGACTAGATTCCACTTGGGATTTTTTTTTTAATAGTATTAATATGTATTGTGTTACCTTTCCAAAATCTAGAAAATTTTCTGGATTTCAAACCACATCTTACCCAAGGGTTTTTGGTTAAGGGATTATGGCCTTACCCCTATTTAATGGGTCAGAAGTTGAGGGTCAGAGAGGCTATGAAATATGCCTCAATGTCATGCAGCTGGTAAATAGGACGTGGGATTTGAATCCAGTCTGGCTCCATAGACTTTCCTACTGTGCTGTATAGCCTGAGGCAGAGTGGGTGTTAAGTAGCTATTGCAGAATGTGTCTCAAGCCTAAGTGCAGATGAGCAAATGAAGACTGTTATCGCCCTTCCTACCCTTAATTATTTTAGTACATTCACATGGGATCTGAGGAGTTTCCTGGAAAAAGAACATGAAACAATGTTGCCAATTCATATTTACACATATGTCCACAGGTAGAATAGAAAGATAAGACAGAATCCAGTTCACCTGGACTATGGTTACCTAAGGCATCAACTATATTGAGGGAAGGAAGGTAAGCTGAACTTTCATCAGGGTCTGAGGGCTGAATCGTCTTGTTCCCAGTGTTGGCTTTTAGATGCACTTCAGAGATAGGCTGTTTCCCAAGCAGTCCTTCTGTGACCCTGATGTCTGCGTCTCTATGACTCTAAAATCTGTTTTCTGTTGTATAATATGCTTATTCTAGGTGGCAAGAATGGTGACACAGGAGAATGGCGGTTACATTCAGGGCTTTCTGAGTATCCGTTATAAGGAGTGCTATGCAATGGTGGGCCTGGAGAGTTTACCCAGGATTGGATGTGGAGAGACTTGAAGCCCATGCCAAATAACTTGGATGTTTTTGAAGTTGATAGCGAGTCATAGACCATTTTTGAATGACAGCGACAGGATTAAAATTGTGTTATAGCAACATTTCTCTGATGGCAATGTGAAGGATAGACCATTTGGCAGAGGTTCTGGAAATCTGCCAGGAAGGAAAATTGTAATAATCCTGCATGGCTACAATATAGGAATAGAACGGAATGGATAGATAAGAGAGTCATTTTAGAAATAGATTCTCTGGTACTTGGTAACTGCCTCAAATTGTTGGCAGAGAGGTGAGGAGTAGGAATCAGAGATAGCACCAACATTTTGAGTTTGATTGAGAAAATGGTGATGCCGTAACCTTTTATAGGGAACAGAGGACGAGAGACAGATTTGTTGGGGAGAAATTTGTTGGTAAATTGGTTTTTACCAAATTGAGCATGGGGCACATGTAGTTTCTCCTGTAATTCTAGTAGGCGGTTGGAAATAAGAGCCTGGGCTTCTGGATAAGTAAAGATATAGATGAAGGTTTGAGCCAGCAGCTTAGAGGTAATAATTGAAGATACAAAGTAGAAGGTATCACAAAAGGTGAAAGAATAGAGCACAGCTCTCTAAAGTATTGCCATGTGGAGGCATTTACTGACCCAGTTTGAAGTCAGGAAGGATTGAGTGAAGTGAGTAATCAGCATTTATTAAATGTTGTTTGACACTAAGAATCTTGTGCTTTGGTGTCCTATTTGGGACATTCAACATTAGCTGGAAATTGATGTAAATCTTAGGAGTGGGAAGGATATGTGATTGGCTAAAGAGGAAAGTCACCTGTCAAAAGAAATCATGTTCTGCTTAAGGTAGGATTTTTTTGGGGTCAGTCTTTGGGTTGCAACCTTGTTTGATGGCAGCGGATGTTACATATAACGAAAGGTGTATACTTAAGATTGGGATTTGGGTATCGACAATGTGCAGCTTGCTTTAGGCTTGTGTTATAGCAGGACTGCATCACTAGAATGATGGATTGTTCATTCAGCTTATTAAACATTTTTGGGATACCTGCTGTGTACCAGGTATTGGATTTTCCTCAAAGGAAAGGTTCATTTCTCATAATGTTTATGAAGGCTCTAAAGTGTTTTCCAAAATGCAGCCTGCCAAATACAAATCCCAAGAGGTAAATATTCCATGAAAAAAAAAAAGTTTAATCAAATAAGAAAACTGCTCATTGTATTTTAAAAGTTTACGTTTAATATTTGCATGTTAAATACAAAAAAATGTCTTACAGGAAAGAAACTTATTTACGTTGGTTTAAGTTTTTTCCCCAAGCTGATTTGACCATGAGTCCTTTTATCCTTCTACATAGCAGCGGTAATCATCCTTTTTCACACTTTGGGAAATGTTGCTACTATGGATTTTGCCAGAATAGTTCCATGTTCTAGCAGAGTAGTTACTCTAAAGTTGTGTGTTTTAGGGATTTTATTTTGGCAGACTTCATGTATTCAGTTCAGCAGAGCTGTGTGTTGATGGTGTTCATTCATTTTAGCAAGTTTCCTTCATTTCTCTTTTGAATAGATGTAAATAATGGGTCACTCAGGCCTTACAGGAGTGGAAAAAGTTCTGTGGAGTGGGTTAAAGTGGGTGAGATGATATCATTTGAAGAAGATAATTGGGAGAGTCGGTTTAGGGGCTATAATGGTTAGAGCATTAGTTCTAGAATGAGATAAACCTAGGTTTGAATCTTGGTCCTGCCCCAAAGCTGTGTGATTCCAGGCAAGTGATCTAACTTCTGTGGGCCTCAATTTCCTTATCTGTGGAAAGGAGTTCCTGGTATATAACTCATTAGGGGGGTTTTGAGGATTAAGTGAAGAGTTTAGTCAAATGTTTAGCATAATGTCCATGGAAAACTTAAATAGCAAGTTGAAAATAGGAACAGCTTTTGCTGATTGCCTAAGAAAATACTTGAAAATAAAAGTAAACGTGGGGCGCCTGGGTGGCTCAGATGGTTGAGTGTCTGCCTTCGGCTCAGGTCATGATCTCAGGGTCCTGGGATCGGGCCCCGCATCGGGCTCCCTTCTTGGCATGGAGCCTGCTTCTCCCTCTCCTTCTACTGTTCCCCCTGCTTGTGCTCTCTCGCTCTGTCAAATAAATAAATAAAATCTTTAAAAAAAAAAAATAAATAAATAAAAGTAAACGTGAACCTGTTGTCTTTTCTGGATGAACAATAAAGATTTAAGGAAGTTCTAATTCCCACCTTAAATTGCTTTTCCTCCTTTAAAATAGCTCTGGCAAGAAGCATTTCTTCTTTCCCTTCTCCATTCCCCTTTATCCCTTCTGTCTCCCCCTTCTCCCTGACCCCCAACTTTGGGTTGTACGAGAATTTCATTTCTGACTCTAGTCTCTGTAATCTTTACTAATGTGATAAATTTTTCTCCATAGGAACCTTTTCTAGGTTTTAGTTAAAAATTTGCGATATTTTTGCAAAAGGGATTTTTTCTGCAGAATTAACATAAATTATGCTAATACTGGAAAGTTCATCTTTTTTTTCTTCTATCCTTTTGCTTGAATGATTTTGATTAATGCATTAATAGTTGTTTTCAGGTTTTGAGAAGGCCATGAATTTTTTCAGGTAGGAAAAAAAATCCTTTTATTTATTCATTTACATCATTCCAGTGGCATTACCAGGAGATTCTGGAATATTCTTTGCTCAAAGTCTGACCCTCTGTAAATGTCCTGCAAAAACACTTGGAGATCCATGCTTAAAAATATTCCTGCATCATTGTAATAGTAAAAATTGAAAATTACTCAATGTTTATCAGTAGGGGGACTGATTAAATTGATACGTAAGAATGCACAGCTGTAAAAAATAGGTAGCATGCATGTGCAATCAGCAAAATCCTGGGAAATTTTATAGGTTAAGTGGCCTGTTGTTTTCAACAAATTGTAAGGAAAAGAGAAGGATGAAGGGAGAACTTGTAGATTAAAAGACTTGAAA